AGCCAACTGGAGGAACTACAACAGGAATTGACGGAGCAGGTAAAAATAATGACAGACAGAACAACAACACTCATGGCTAATTTGCCTCTATGTTCGTGTAAGATTAACCTATAAAGATCCAAATATTAATGGATAACAAATCTGATATTGATTGTTGTAATACAGAGTAATTTGTTGCTTATGTTTGTTAAAAAAATACATGGAAGGAGCATTTATAATAATCTCTTAACTCGGAAGGAAATACTGTATAATCCAGTGGACTGATTTTGTGTGTGTGTGTGTGTGTGTGTGTGTGTGTGTGTGTGTGTGTGTGTGTGTGCGCACGCGAGAAAGGCTCGGCGCACCCTGAAAACCAGTCGCATGAAAAGATTAGAGAAAAGAGTCGAGAGAGCCATCGAGAAAACCCTGACTGCCCCTCAGGTGCAGAAACTAGAAGAGGTAAGATTAGGCCTGAGAGAGGAAGCTGCTGACAACTAGCACAGTAAAAAAAAAAAATTTAAAAAAAACTTAAATGAATGATGAGCAAGTTAAGCACATATCTGCTGAATGTGTGTGGGTGTAGGATGAGAATGACTTCTGGAACAAGTTGATCGAGCGCTACTTGAAGCCCATTGTTGACACTAAAGCACATCTAGAGGAGGTCACCAGAGAGCTAAAGTCGCTGCGCAACAAGGTCAGTAAACTTCTCTGCACATTGTTGAATCAAACTTTTTTTTTTTTTAATTGTCTACCGGTAATTCTACGTGGTACTTCAAATTTTTCGAGATACGAGCGTTTTTCGAAATACGAACATTGCTCGGATGATTATTTTGTCTTACGTCGCCAGCAAAAGATTTCAGTTACAAGTGCTAAATGGTAGCAGGGAATGTCACAAGTAGCACATAGAGAAGAATTCTTCCAAAAAAAGAGGCCAAAAAACTGCTTCTAGCTATTTATTGCCATTCTCAGTTGAAAGTTAAATATCAAACACATTGTGTAGGTAAACCATAACTGCTCGCTTAATGCTAACACATGATGCGAAACAAATCAAACTCGCATCACTGTTGCAGTCGTAAGCGCTTAAGCTATGGATATTTGAATGCAAATGCTCCAGTAACACATGTAGGCAAACAATGTAACAATATGCAAATTAGGGGTCAACTTCTTTCTTTTCCAGAACATTAAATTATTGGCCTGTACAATTGCTAAAGGTTTTAAAAGACTATAATTTCAGCCTATAATGGATTATTTGTAGATAGATAGATTTGTTTTTGTTAACTGATTAAGGTTCCATTGGAATTCTGTTTCAAATAATTCCCGACGTCTGCTTTTCAAAGGGCTTGACTTCAAGTCAATAAGTTGGCGAAATAAGGATGCCAAAAGCCACAGACAAATACTTGTGTTTTTTCCACAACAACCCGTAGGCAGTATTCCTCTATTTTATCGTCAATGTGCTGTGGGTGGTTGCCACCTTTTTCCTGCAAGCCATTGGAAATGACGTCATCAGCATCAAGATCCCTAAATTCTATTCAAACGGAACAGAATCTGGAGAGGTCCTCAAGGTTGGTGCACACACGATTGAAACGATGACAAAAACTTGAACCACCTCGCACAATGTGTGATGCCATTGTGAATTGTCCCATATCGTGTATAACATTTTTTATGTTGTAACAGGTGGAGCCTCTCAGCTTGATGTTTCTGTTGTCTTTTGCGATCCTTCTCCTTGTCCAGTTCATCGCCATGTTGTATCACAGGTACACACAAACACACACGGTGCCTTCGCAACACCACAAATGTTGTATTACTTACATATTTTTTTAAGGGCCTTAGGTTAAGTGGTATGCAAGCACTGATCTACCTGAGTTTCATTTGATTACAGGGTCTACACTTTGATCCATGTGGTGTCATACCGCAGCACAGAGAAGGACTACAAACTGAAAGATGATGTAAGTGACACACAATAAAATCCACTAACTGTCATGTAATTAGATCCTCATCAAATAGTAAAATCTTCAACACACAAGTCATCTCTGGTGACTGAGAAGTATAAACAAAATTACGAAACACTTCTTGCCATTTTTAACCACATTTGCAATTGTTTTAATTGCATTCATTCTCAGTCACCTTAGTATTGAGCTACACACTCCCACCAAACAAAAACAAAACAAAAAAACAAAATCAATATAACCAATGCACTGCTTGTTTTAATACACTTAACATCAGTGGTGTGCAGAAGGTGGGACCATTTGGGTGGTACAGCAGCCCCAAGCACCGACCTGAGCAGGCGCAACCACAGCACAACAACCCCAACTGTTTATTTATGGGCATGTGGAAGCAAATTGGGAGTTAGGGCATCCACTTTGTAAAACTCCCATCCGCCCCACAAACAAAGGGTTTCAAATTAGGCTTTTGAAATCAGGGTTGGGTAACCTCCATCCTCAGCACCCCCACCCACCTGATCTTTGATGCAGAGGCATGTTGAAGCGCATAAATTTAGGAACATTTTCGTCCGGAAGATATCTTTAAAATATCAAGTTACACAAACTACAGTAGAAATAGAACTGTACAGTACTTGACATACTGGTAAACAAATTATTTTCCCAGGTAAATGTTTGCCAATGGCAAACATGTTATACTGTATATTTCATTAAAACGTAGTCACTCAGAGCAAAGCAATAACATCTTGTCATTCAGAAGCAAAGACGTATTTTGATTTGCTTACCATCATTTGACGTACTCCGCCCGTAGAAATCCTGCGAAATGCTGCAAAGATGAGCAATTTGACAAGTCCATTTTTGGAGTTGTTGCTATTGCTCATATTGCTAATAATCCATTGGGTACGTACCGACAATGACTTCGATACGCTCACCTCAAAGTTTATTTTTCTCACTGTTTGACTAGTCTAGTCTAGAGTTAACAATTCCCAGTTTGTTTTCTGCGCATCTCTAACTAATACACATTTCAAACATCAATTAGACAGGCCAACTTCACCTGTTTGGCAATGACGTCGTGACTTTTTTTTTAGCCAATAATCTCGGACCCGTTTGAGTCAGGCGGATGGGTTAGCTGGTTTAGCTAGCAAGTTAGATCGATTCAGAGAAAATTAACGAGGGCGCGCACGTCTGTTGCATATAGATTTTTATTCTTATTATCAACATTATATATATATATATA